TAAGCTTGGGTCCTGATTCACCAAGAAGGGGAACAGACATCTAAGGACGCCAAGTGACAAAGGAACCAAGTAGAATTGTTCATGCGATGTAGGAACAGACATGCTAGATGGACAAAGGCAGAAAGAGAAGTAACCAGTGTAAATAGCTAATCTTCAGGAAAAGGGTTAAGAGTGGCAGCACCTCCCAGACTCACAAACCATGTCGATGGGATCATGCGCTTTCATGGGTACAACCCACTTCTTCAGATGACTGGGCTAAGAGTGGTGGGTCAAATTCCTGTCTGAAGCCCCTGGCTCTGGTGCGTTTGGCTGACACAGTCATGAATGGCTTTGACTTTGCATTCCGTGGCAAAAATTACCTGGGGCAAAACCGCTCACAGAAGGGCAAAAACTGCTTCCTTCTCCCAGGAATACATTGCCGAAGGGGGTTGTGGACTCTCCATCCCTGGAGATATCTAAGAGCAGGTTGGACAGACACCTGTCAGGGATGGTCTAGACGGGGCTTGGTCCTTCCGCGAGGGCAGGGGACTGGACTCGATGACCTCACGAGGTCCCTTCCAGTTCTAGTGCTCTGTGCTTCTGTGACTCTCCCACCTCAGATGCAGAGAGGCCCAAAATTCAGGGGAACCAATGTGCTTCTCCAGCGCTGGGGAGGGACAAGCTTGTTTTCCCGACACAGACGGAAAGGGCTGAGGAGCTGTGGGGTTGGTAACGTCTCAGGCCTGGTGCATCCACTCTTTCATTCCACAGCTGAGCAGGGAGGATTGCGACCTGGGATTGTAGGCAGCAGGCTCCACTCCACGCCTTGGCCTGCGGCTGGGAATTGGATTTGGTTGCAGATGGCGTGGGGCTGGATATGAAGCTAACATCTAGTCTCATGGAAGTCAACGGGAGAGTGTACTTTTGCCATTGAATTCAATGGGAGCAGGACCATAACTCCTACCAAGTCCTCTCCTAATTTTGTGAGAGTTGAGTTCCAGCTGGTTAATCAAATGTCTTCTGTGTCGCAGGTGCCGTAGTGTTTATTTTTATTAGTACCCCCGAGGCTATTTTTAGGTCTTTGGGAGGAATGAATACCGGTGCAGACATGAAGCTGTATGAAACGGGAGTGTTTACCCTCACCATTTATTTTTACTTCCCCATATCCAAATAATCAGGATGTGGTTATCTGCAAGGTGATAAACGGCGACTTTTTATTTCAGTGCCCAGCCAAGTACAAAAATACACATTCTAAAGCACCACAGCGGGGGAACAAAACAACAAGCAACCCGTAGGCCAGATCCTCAAATTCTGCAAATGGTGTAGGTCTGTTAGCATCTGGCCTCCCGCTGGGAACGAGTCTCACCTACTTCACATCAGTCTCACCTTATTCATTCCTCTCTCTCTCTCTCCTTTGACCCACTGAAGTTATTTTGGTTTGCATTGGCCATTCCCAAAACCGTAGGGACAAAATAAAATGGTATAAAAAAATGGAATCGGGTAAGAAAAACACACATAAAAATAAATACAATTAACACCACTTTAGTACCTCCCTCTGCAGCATCTGGTACCTGCAAATGTCAGTACAAGAGGAATAGGCAGGTGACTTATGGTTCTGGTCACTTACAAAAAATTCAGTGTGAGAAGCAGAGAAAGGAAGACACATGTTCTAACTTGACACTTACAACAGGATCCCAGGCTCTTGGCTCATGTCTCCTGGAGTGTGGGAACAAAGAGCAAAGTCAAATATTTCTGCTGGGATATTCTGCCCAATCTCATGAGAGATCTGCGACAGTGAGGCTAAAACAACTCTTGTAGATCATAGGAATATATTGACACTGCCCTTCTATTTCTGCCTGCTCCGGGAGGAGAGGCAGCAGACAGCAGCCGAGTCAGAGTTGAATTATGGTCACTGGTGCTGGACGTGGAAACAGATTAACAAGCAGATTAACAGATTTCTTCTGGCGTGGGAGGCGCCAACCCAACTCCCATTAAAATCCATGGCATGATTCCCCACCAGGTCAAGGGAAGGCTCCATGGTTTGCGGGGTGTGGCATTAACCTACCAAATTCACGGTCCATTTTGGTCAATTTCACAGTTATCAGATTTTTAAAATCGTACATTTCATGATTTTGGCCCTTTACCTCTGAAATGTCACAGTGTTGTCATTGTAGGGAGCCTGACCTCCCCCCCCAAAGTTGTGGGGGTGCAAGGTTATAAGGAGTGGCATTGCGGCACTGCTACCCTTACTTCTGTTCAGCTGCTGGCAGACGAGCTACCTTCAGAGCTGGGCAGCTGGAGAGCAGCGGCTGCTGGCCGGGAGCCCAGCTCTGAAGGCAGAGCTGCCGCCAGCAGCAGCACAGAAGTAAGGGTGACCTGGTATGGTATTGCCACCTTTACCTCTGTGCTGCTGCTGGCGGGGCGTCGTCTTCAGCTTTCATGGGAGGAGACCAGATTTCACAATCCAGTCCACGTTTTTTATGGCTGGGCCCCCCACTACAAAAAGGATGTGGACGCATTGGAGAGGGTCCAGCAGAGGGCAACCAAAATGATTAGGGGCTGGAGCATATGACCTATGAGGAGAGGCTGAGGGACTTGGGTCTGTTTAGTTTGCAGAAGCGAAGAGTGAGGGGGGATTTGAGAGCAGCCTTCAACTTCCTGAAGGGGGGTTCCAAAGAGGCTGGAGAGAGGCTGTTCTCAGTGGTGACAGATGGCAGAACAAGGAGCAATGGGCTCAAGTTGTGGTGGGAGAGGTCCAGGTTGGATATTAGGAAAAACTATTTCCCTAGGCGGGTGGTGAAGCACTGGGATGGGTTTCCTAGGGAGGGGTGGAGTCTCCATCCCTACAGGTGTTTAAGTCTCAGCTTGACAAAGCCCTGGCTGGGTTGATTTAGTTGGGATTGGTCCTGCCTAGAGCAGGGGGCTGGACTTGCCCTTCTGAGGTCTCTTCCAGTTCTACGGTTCTGATTCTATGGCTGCCAATGAGGTGGGGGCTGTACCTATCAGTCAGGCTCTGCCTGGCTCTCCCTGAACCTACTGAGTGATCCTGGGCAAGTCATTTCCCCTCCGTGTCTGCTCTGTTTGGAATAGGAGCACTTTGGGCAGGGGCTGGCTCTCCCCTGTCCTTCCCACACCAGGTATCAGAGCTCCTGCACCAGCCCCAAGTGCCCAGCTGTGAGAGGCCAGTCCGAGCCCAGAGCGCTGTGCTCACCCGTCCCTTGCCCTTCCCCTCTGTGCACGTTGGTGGCGAGTGACTCACCAGGGTGTTCTGCTTTGCAGATGCTGCAGGGTCAGTGTGGGGCGGTGCCCTTGGTCCTGGCACTCACCCTGCTGCAGGGGCCCGCCCAGGTAAGTGGCTGCTCCTGGCCCCGCCACATGCCCCTTCCCTTCCGAGGAAGCTCGAAGCCAGGCCGGGCTGGAGAAGCAGGAATTTCTCCCTTGTTGTGTTTCTAACTTCACTCTTCCACAAGGACAAGTGGTTGGCCTATCCCTAAATTCCTGATGTAGGAACCCATGGTGGCTTTTCTTCAGGTCCTTTGCTTTTGACCTGTCTGGCTTGGGTGACCCCTTGAGGAATTAAAGTTCCCGCCGGCATAGCTTTTGGCCTTCCCACCATGTCAAGGACGGGCTGGATGGACCTTTGATCTGACCCAGTCTGGCTGTTGGGCTCTTACGGCGCTGCCCTCTAAGAAGGGGATCTCTGTTGCCCTTGAAATGCCACCTCCTACTCGCTCCACGGAATAAAACCAGCCCCTAGGTCAGCAATGGAAGAAGAGGGCTGTATCCAACCGAAAGGCAACGGGGGATCTGGAGTAGACAGCGAATAATCACCCTCCTTGTCATGGAGCGAGGAGATTGGGGCTAACACGTCGGCTGAAAAGTGCCAGAAACTCCTTAATGACCAAACGTGGTCAGTGCATCCTCCACGGAGCAACAGGCTGGCCACGGAGCAACACGACTGGCCATGGAGCAACAGGGTTTTGCCTCTTAAAAGTAGAACAAGTTGTTTCATCGTCTGTTTTTATGTCTTCGGTTCTGACAGAGCCCAGGCAGAGTTTGTCAGCTACCCAATGTGTGTCGATATAGTCTAGGAAGGGTGTTAATCACAATGTCATACAAACTGGCTCAGACCAATGGTCCATCCAGCCCAATATCCTGTTCTCCAAGGCTGTGTCCAGACTCAGGGGTTTTTTCGAAAAAAGTAGCCTTTTTTCGAAAAAACTTCACCTGCATCTAGACTGCAGCCACGTTCTTTCGAAATTAAATCGAAAGAATGCGGCTTTTCTTTCGACGGTGGTAAACCTAATTCCACGAGGAAGAACGCCTTCTTTCGAAAGTGCTCTTTCGAAAGAAGGCGTTCTTGAAAGCAAACAGGCTTTTTAGAAAGAGAGCATCCAGACTCACTGGGTGCTTTCTTTCGAAAAAGCGGCTTGCTTTTTCGAAATTCCGTGTGCAGTCTAGACGCGCTCTTTCGAAAGAGGCTCTTTCGAAAGTATCTTTCGAAAGAGCCACTTTCGAAAGAGGCTTGCAGTCTAGACATAGCCCAACAGTGGCCAATACGAGGTGCTTCAAAAGAAACCAAAAGAGCAGGCAAACATCAAACGTTCTAAGTGAAGTTAAAAACCAGGTATACGGTATACAGTCTGCCTTGCCAACTTCCCTGTAACTTTTAAGTAGATACTTCATTCTTTATCTCCTCTTCTAAACTTGAATACGTTTGCCGGGCCACATCCTACCTCTGAATCAGCAGCATTTCAGTGCTAGGTGAAATGATTCTGGTGTATTGTTTACCTAACAATTTGTCAAACCTGTAAAGTAGTTTGGGATGGGAAATGACATACATATATTTATTATAGCCAGTCATAACATGGTTTTTTTGCCTATTTCAAAATATTGACACTGTTTTCACTGAAGAGGGTTTGAAAATAAATATTTAATCCTCCCCCTCAAAAAATTCATTGAATTATTTAATTGAATTTTTTTTTTAAAATGGACCATGGTATTGAAAATGTTACTGAAAAATGGTTATGGAAAGTTTTTGTTCGCCAAAACCCCAGGTTTCAGTAAATAAAAAAATGCTGATAATCCTTTTGAATCACATTTTAGAGATATTTTTCAATTCACAATTTTTTGTGAAAAATGCAACACTTCAACAATGCCGACAATCTTCCATTGGAAAAATGCATCTTGCAAAAATGGCCCATTTTCAATAAACAAACTTCTCATGCAAATGATTTGCTCCCGCTTTAGGGTTTGCCTGTTCTAATGGAATTCTGGGAGGGACGAAGCACTGCTCTCTGTGCAGACTGAAATTCTCTCTCTGAAACAGAACCATCAAGCCAACCCTTTCCCTGTTCCTCTGCAGCCCGTGGACTCTTCCATAGCGTTGGTCAGGGAAGCCCGTTCCACCTCCAGTGAAGAGAAGACCGCCACCGAGCTGGCAGCGAAACTGCTGCTTCTTGATGAGCTAGTGTCTCTTGAAAACGATGTGATTGAGACCAAGAAGAAGAGAAGTTTTCCCGGGTTTGGCTCCCCCCTCGACAGGCTTTCGGCTAGCTCTGTCGATCTGAAAGGCAAGCAGAGGTAAGCGGAGTGATCGGATGGTGCCAAGGTGAGGGCTGTGTAAGAATGCCGATAGGCAGACCTTCCAAATGCAAAGGACTCGTTCTCAGTAGCGAGTCAGTTCTGAGGTCGGCGGTGGGTAATTCATTTGTCAGCCTGTTGGAGTGACTGCAGAGACGACTCATCTTTTCAGGGTTGCAAGTCACACCCCCTGCAGCTGGTTTATCCTTGTAGCAATCAGCTTTCAAGAGCCAGCCAGGTAGGCAAATGTACACCTCCCGTATGCCCTTTGCCATGCATCTAGGATTCTATGATCTGAATGGTCATTCCAGTTAGAACGCGAGTTAGGCAGTAAAATGGTTCAAGGAATATTTACATCCTGGGGGGCAAGGGGAGGAGGTGAAATGTTTCCCAGAACAGATGGCCAGCGAGAGGGCGTCTTGTTCAGCACATGCCGAACGGCACCGTGGCAGGCATACACGCCGTGGCCAGTCCTGGATAGGAAGGGAATCCAGAGCAGGATATCCTGCAAAGTCCTGCTTTCTTGGTTTAACAGAGAGTGGGTCTGAGCAAAAACCTATCAGGGGGCCTGTCCCATGATGCACCTGTTCGTATGCAGGCCGGATGTCTTGACTGTTCACCTGAGAGGGGACGGGGTGTTGTGTCCGGAAGAGCAGACGAGAACTCCGAAGGCCGGACTTGTAGGGTGTCTCCTGTCCGTAACAGCCCACGCAGAAATCTTTCTCTTTCCCCTCCCCTGCTACTCGCTGCTGGCGACTCTCTTCCGCCACCCCGTGCAGCCCCAGCCCAGCAAAGCGCTTACTCACGTGCTTAAAGTCAGGCATGCGCTTAGGGCTTTGCTGGAGAGGGGCCTTCGCATGGGTGGGTTTGCAAAGGTCGGATGGAAAAGACCTGACCCAACCCTCCCGTCAAAACTCACCACAACCCCAGAACTGGGATTTGTATCGAGTTCTGCAAAGGTTTTGACTGTGGGAGTTTAACTGGGAAGTGAAAAATATTCCCAGTGGCCAGGCAGCGTTTTCCGAAACGTGGTTTGTCAGACAGTTTGCCCACCGGCCAGCTTTAATACTCACACTGCACAGCCAGGGTCTGGCCAGCAGGGGGTGAAAGGTCAAAATGACTAAACTTCAGGGGGGGTTGTTTTTATCTTTCCCCCTCACGCCAAACTCCAAATGGGCTGGAGGGACCCTGTGGGGAGCGCGTGGGGGGTTGAAGCAAAATGGAGCTGTTTGGGCAACACAATGGAAACTCCTTCCAACAGCAGGGTCTTTCCGCAAGCACCTGGAAATGTGTCGTTTAGATGTAAAAAATATTGATTTGATCTAAATTACGCAGGAGGTAAAATACCCGAGGGAGGGAGGACGGCGGTTGGACTGACAGGGGCCACCCTTTCTCACGACATTTCTCAGAGCCAAGAACTATTTCCTGAAGGTCTAGCTAAACCCAGACGTGCCTCAGTATCCCACAAACCGGGGCCCTCTAAGACCCTGCAGCCATGAGCGGAGTGAGGTTTCAATATTGAGGTCCTGTGCACTGGTTGGATGTGCGCCACCGTGGCGCCCAATTTATTCATACACACACGTTCCTGACTGCTGGAGAAAAACCCTCTCCCTTCCCCCGCCATGCAGCATGCCCTGTTCCCAGCCACCGGAGCAG